GTGGGGGTGAACGAGCGGGTGGGGGGGGCTCTTTGATGCGTTTTTCTGGTGTTGATGTGTCGCGTGTGTACTGGTTGGATTGGGTTGTTTTCAGGGCAGTGGCTTCGCGTTTTGCGACCGGAACCTGCGAAGAATCGGTAGAGCCCGGTGCTTTTCTTGCCGCGGTTGGTTTCTGGCCGTTCCAGGCCTCTCCATCCGCGACCCGAAAAAGTAGTGACTGTGCGTGGCTCCCCCCCCCCCGTCGGTTTGCCGGAATGCCCAAACAACCCATGGCACGCATGGCTTGGCACAGCATACACAAGGATGATGGCACTAGCAGCTTCTGGTTTATCCATGTGAAGCGTACCTGGGCCGGCGAACACCCGGCATTGTAGGAATTCGAGGCCTATGGTCTAACAACCACGGCATGCGTTACATGAGCACACACACGCATACGGCCCGCTGTCCGCGTCGCAGGTGGAAGGTATGACGCGCGTGGCGCCTAAGCCGGGTAAAGCGGGGCGAGCGGCAAAGAGTGAGAACTTCGTGATCAACGAGCCAGGACGAGAGCCCTTCTACGTCCACGCCTTCCATGGGGGCGGGCCTGAGCACTGCGTCGACTTACAGGTAAAATGAGGGTGTCTTTTTGATTGGTTGGGTGCGGTTGTTTGCGAAGAAAGTTGGGCTTTATTTTGGTGGCGTTGGTTTTGTTGGCCGCTGTCGTCCTTATGTGGTTGGTGGTGTTGTATTTGTTGTATTTGTTGTATTTGTTGCATTTGTTGTATTTGTCGTTGACGTCTGTTGTTTTTCCGTTGTCGTTGTTACGATATTTGTGCTGTTGCTGTCGTCATCGTCGTCGTCTGTTGTTGCTATTTGCGCGACAAGGCAAGTGCAGGCGTGGGTGTGGAGCAGAGCAGGACGTATGGGGGTAGAGGCGGGCATGCACATGACCAGGGCTACGCCCCTCGGAGGCGTGTCTTCTTCTGCTTCGTTTTTTGGTATTCGGGGCCGAGTCTTTGCTAGATTTTGGGATTAGCAACTGACACGAGTTAAATGTGAAGAAAAAAAAACAAAAACAATTCGAACGTTCTTCGCTGCTCGCATTTCACACACGCACAGGGGCGGCTTCCACGGAATCTGGACGTTGATGGCCGCGTATCGATGACCAACCTCAACGGCACCATGAAGTCGAGGGCGGCGGGCAGCATCAGGGTCCTTGTCCTTCGGCCCGGGGGCGGTGGTCCTCACAACCCCAACGTATTGAAGTGAGTTTTTTTTTGTTGTGGCGTGCGTATGCATACGATCACTGGAAGACCGCTTGTTTCAGGTAAAAGTGTGTGTTTCCGACGGAAATGATGCATGGAAGGGTGTATTCCCGCATCCTGTTTGCCAGCGTTTCCTACTCCCCATCCTGTTTGCTTCACCATTCACTCTCTTGCCGGCTCTCTTGGTCTGGTTGGTGATTCTCTGACTCGACCTGTTGGTGAGTGGTCCGCAAATGATTTTCGATCTCGCGATCGACGTCCTCTCGAAAAACGTCGTAACAGTAGTTTTTTTTTGTGGTTTGTATGATTCTCGTCACTCGTTCCGTTCCGTACATCACACGGTGCTTGCCGTGTGCACGGCGTGTCGTTGTGTCCCCTCTCCCCTCTCCCCTCCCCCAATCGCGCGCGCAGCCGCTTCTGCCAAGAGTTCGCCGCGTACAAGAATCAGGGCCGAGCCGGGTACTGCTTCAAGCAGTTCGACAAGAAGCACGTGGAGTTCCTCTACCTCGTGCCTCCGGCGCTGGCGCCACAGGTGGTGAAGTCATTCTGTACCGTGCTTCCACCATTTTCATAACTTTCTTCCTCTTCTGGCTGGGACCCCGTTAGCCTTAGGCTCTTTGTCGACAGGAGTTTATTTCTGTACCGTGCTTCCTTCCTTTTCATGACTTTCTTCCTCTTCTGGCTGGGACCCCGTTAGCCTTAGGCTCTTTGTCGACAGGAGCTTATTTCTGTACCGTGCTTCCTTCCATTTCATGACTTCATTGCTTTGCGTTGCTGGGCCGCTGTGAGCCCCGGGCTCTTGGCCTTCATGTGAGAACATTTCCTGTTCAAGCCCCTTTTTTGTCAAGCTAGCGCCGGTGGGGCGCGACGTTGGAGAGGGTGAGGTCGGAGACGTCTGATGAACGGGACTTCTGCGTGCATTTGTTTCAGGCATGGCGGTTTTACAATAGATATATCCAACCCAAACACAAGAATTTTGGCAAGTTAACCAAGCCACCAAGGAGCGCAGGTTGGCCCTTTCTTTTTTTCGATGATACTGTAGCCAGAGTGTATCGTCTTGCATACGGGCCATGTTCGACTGGCTGCCTACCCTGCGCTCTTTCGGTGGCTTGGCTAAGGTGCCGTTTCCGTGTGCTTTGGCCTCATTTTTGTTCCTTTCATCAAGCCCCCAGCACCCGCCGTACCACCAACTCCGCCCCTCACCGTACTACAGTAGCTTGGCAAGGGGCTGGAAAATGAACCGATTCGGTTCGTGAACATTTTGGCATGTGCTTCGCATCGCATTCGAAAATTCCGGAGTTCCGGAGAGGGGCTCTGAAGAAGCAGAGTAGGTCGATTCCCTGCCTTTTTTTTATATTCTGGAATATAACTACTCCAGAGTATGTCTCGTCTCCCCTCACTACTATCGCCACCATCGCCAACGGTACTTTCCCGACTCGGCCCCCAACCTAGCTTATCCACCTGTGCGTCCAAACGGTACTTTTTTCCCCTGTGCTTCGTCGCAGGTGCCGTTGCTAGCGCAGAACCCCGCCGCCCAGGGCCACCTCGTCTGCCTCGTCATCACGGTCGCCTCCGCCGTGGTGCCGCCACCGGCACCGGTGATGTTGGCGCCGCAGCCACCCCCACAGCAGCAGCCGCCGCAGACGCAGTACCTGTACCACCCCCCGCCGCCGACCTTCACGCCGTCCGCCCCGGCTCAGCAGCAGCCGCCAACGCCCACCCAGCAGCAACCGACGCCTCCGCCACCGCCACCTCCCCAACAGGTTCAGCAGCAGGCCGCACCGCCGCCGGCCGCGGCCCAGCTGGAGACGCCGCCGGGCCCGCCGCCACGGGCACCCGTCGGCGCGCCCCCCGCCGCCGCCACGGCGCCGCTCGGTGGCGGTGGTTTGGTGCCGCCGCAAAT